GTTGCGGGTTATTTATACAGTAGTCTGGGAGGAGCGGTAGCAGAACATTGGACAGCACTAAGGCCAGCAGCACCTCTCACGGGGAAACTGGCAGCCTGACCTGGTGAAGACAGCACCATATCACAGCAGAAGCCCCACTGGGCCTCACTAAGGAGACCCACTTCTTCCGAAAGAAAGGCACACGACCTTGTCCTCAAAGGTGACTGGGTCCTGCAACAGCAGGCAAGGGGCACATGAATGTGCTCTAAGCAACGGGCACTGGACCTGACACGCCAGTCTCTGTCCAGCCACACACTTCCCCTTATGTCTCCCAAACGCTGTCCCCTGAAACACCTGCCCGCCCTTTCGTATCTGAGAGCATGGGCCGTCCTGCTGGGTATGCACTCTCCCCATGTCCATTGGTGTTTGGACAATGCTTCTCTTTTTCTGCACCCACCTCACCTACTCAGCTATTGGTCCTTAATCTGGAAACCCCACACTCACCTCAAGGCCTATCTGTAACAACCTAAGAGTTTCCTTCCAAAATCCCATTCTCAGCATCTTGCCTGGTCCAGGCCACGAGTGCACTGCAGTCTGGACATCAGGAGGCCAAATCAAAATCCCCTATCTGTTCACGGGCACATGTGTCACCTCCACCTAGAGGCCTCCAGACAACTCAGTCTCTACCCGTACAAAATCCAACTGCTAATCTTCCCCCAAACGTACTCCTCCTGCCAACCTCCGATCTCCATCTCATTCTTTATCTGAACACTTAGGGTGGTCCTTTACCCTCCACTACGTTCACTCTCCACGTGTAACTGGAGGTCCCATCGACTCCACTTTGAAAGACGCATCCAGAATCTGAGTATCTCTCCCACCTCTCCTGCTTCTATTCTGAGCAGGCCATCCAACATATACCTGCAGCAGCAACCTCATGAAGCTGCCTGCTTTCAGCCCCAACACAACCTCTCTCCCACAAGGCTGCTCAGTGTGTTTACGCGGGATCCACTGGGATAGTTTCAAAATCCTAACTCAGATCATAGCCATCCATCTTCTATTGAAAAATTTCTGTGGCTCCCAGCATCCTCAGCCCGTCAACAGAGGTAGGACTCCTATCCTCACGCTCTTGGTTACCCGCAACGGAGACTGGAAAACTTTCCTCAATGTTCAGGTCAGTCTCACCTCCAAGTCTTAGCACATACACATTCCTCCGCCTGCACGCTCCACATTTTATCACACTGGATTCTGAAAGGGAGACCCTCCACCTGTGAACGTTCCACTGTCCTGAACACCCAGGCCTGAGGCTGAGTCAGGGACTTGGGGCGCTGGGGTTCGGAGTCCAGCCAGGTGGAGGTCAGGAGACTCTACCTCATCTGTGCCTAGTCGATCGGCTCGCTATCACGCCCGCAGTCCAGCTACATAATGGGTCAAGACCTCGGAATGGCTGGCTTTCGAGCCTGGGTCTTCTTCTCCGTAAAGCGGACACAACGCACAGGGCGACGACTCCGGGGCGGCCACGGACACAGACGGGCCTTGACGGAGGTATCCGCAGGGCACCCCGGCGCCAGGCGGTCCGCCGACAGCGGAGGACACACGAGCTCGGGGAGGCGGGATGTTCGCTGCGGTCATGGGGCGTACAAGGCACAGCGGGTGGACCACCCAGGCTCTCGTACCTACCCTACTCCCGTTTCTGCGGGCCCGGGGAGCCTCCTGGATGCTGTCCACAGCCCAGCAACTACGTCCCTCCACGAAGTGCCGACATAAAGGCGGGACAAAAATGCAATGCTCCGACCCAGGAAGTCCCGCCCCCGCCGGCGCGGCCATTCCGGAAACGCCCCTCCCCTAGGTTATCATTGGTCCCTATCCTGGGCTCTCATTGGTCAACACTGTGTGCGGTCGCACGGCGAGGGCGTTTCTGGGTAATGTAGTTCGCGTCTCGTGAGCCGTGACGCAACTTGCGTCCTTCCTGATCACCTAGGCAACGACTAGGCGGCACCGCGATTGGCTCCGGGAAAAGCGTCATAGTCGGCCGCGAGTCTTGAACCAGTGAAGGGTCAGGATTTGGGCGTTTTCGCGTGGGCCGCAGGGGGTGGGGCGGGACTTCCGGCGCGGCCATTGCAGTCTTCGTTTTGGCGGCGGTTGGGCTGTGCGCAAACCGTCGCTGGAACGTGCGGCGAAGGGGGCCGGGGGGGGGACGTGCTGGAACCGTCATCGCACCTTGGCAGTCACTTTTACCCTCGGCTGACGGCCCTTCCTTCCTGAGCCTCGGTTTTCCCGGAAGTGGAACGGACGCAGAGAGTCTCCGCGCCCCGCCTTCGTCCCACATTCCCGGGAGACAGCTCCTATATCATACTGGGGAAGACAGGCCTTGAGTGCGACCGTCAGCCTGCGGTCACTCCACCCAGTGCGTGTGGGGGTTCTGATGAGCCTGCTGGGCTCGTCCCGGTCGCCGTCTGGCAGGGCCCCGCCCAGCCCACAGGTTGTGACCGGGTCTGCAGTGTCGCAGATGGACCCGGCGCAGGTGAGTAGCGGGTGCACAGGTCCTCACCCGCTGGGATCCCCCCCTTCCTGTGCCTGGAGCCCGTTAGAGAATGGTCGTGTCCCGAATTCTTCACCTGCACATGAGTCTGGGGCCCTGAGAGTCACTTCCCCCTAGCATCCGGAACCTAGGCCAGAGGTTATATGGAGCGGATCACGTGGGATAAGGTCTGGAAAGGTGCCCCTAGCACAGGGATCAGCATGTGCCAGTTGCTTGGAGGTGAGTATAAGGTGGAAGTGTTCAGGGAAACCACAGGTCTCTATTTCGTCTGGTGGAAATAACGAGCAAGGGAACTGGAAGCAGGCCTGGAATAGCAGAGTGAGGTGCTAGGCCTCTGTTCGCAGTGTGATGCGAGTCACGGGAAGTGTAGAGCAGAGGAGGGAGGTGTTCTGACTCAGATCTTAACAAGCTCCCTCTGGATGCTGGGTGGAGAAGAGACTGGCAGGTGGGGTGCTGTGGCAGGCAGGAAGACCACTGAGGAGGTGACTGCAGTAGTCCAGGTGTGTGCTCTTTGTGGCTGGAGCAGAGAGGTGCCTGTGAGGTAGAAGTGGTTGGCTCCTGGATGTGCTTTTTAAGTAGGACGGACTAGATTTCCTGATGTGTGGCAATGAGGTATCATGGTTGACCCTGATAGGTTTTCTGGATGTGGAAGTTGGTGTGAGGAGTAGATTTCAGAGGGAAGATAAAGAGTTGGGTTTTGGCCTTATTGTATTTGAAATGGCCCAGAGGGACTTCCCTGGTAGTCCAGTGGGTAAGACTCTGTGCTCCCAATGCAGGGGGCCCAGGTTCGATCCCTGGTCGGGAAACTAGATCCCACATGTGTGCCGCAACTAAGAGTCCTCATGCCGCAACTAAGAAGTCCGCATGCCACAACTAAGAGTTCAAATGCCACGACTAAAGATCCCGCATGCTGCAACTAAGACCCAGCACAGCCTAAATAAATAATAAATAAATATTAAGAAACAATGTCCCAGAGACTGCCAAATTGAGGTGCCAAGTGTGCTTTCTGCCGGGTCCAGGCTGGAGACATCTAAGGGGTGGAGGCTTGTGCTTAGACACTGTGTGCAGCTGTGAGCTGGGTTCAGGATGATGACCAAGCCGCTGAGTAAAGTGTAGACTTGGGATGAAAAATGAAGCATGGAAGTAACTGAGGTAGGATAACAGAGGGGCCCGAGGTTAGATTGTTTTACCTCTCTACAGCTCACCAGGTTTTTGTGGCCATGCTCCTTGGGTCCAGGGGGTTTTGTCAGGCTATTGGAGTAGCAGGAACATAAAGGGTCAGCCCAAGCTAAGAGTTCCTAAGCCAAGAATGGGGGCCAGCGGGTCTGGGATTCGTGTATTAGGAAGGGCAAGGACAGCTATGACTGGTGAAGGGACAGCATGCGCAAGGTCAGAGCTAGAAGAGAATAAGGGTGTTTGAGATCTTACTCATGGTTCTGGGGGGCAAGGTTGAAGCAGCAGAGCAAAGAAGGGAGGCATTGGGGCTTCCCTGGTGGCGCAGTGGTTGAGAATCTGCCTGCCAATGCAGGGGACACGGGTTCGAGCCCTGGTCTGGGAAGATCCCACATGCCGCGGAGCAACTAAGCCCGTGAGCCACAACTACTGAGCCTGTGCGTCTCGAGCTTGTGCTCCGCAACAAGAGAGGCTGCGACAGTGAGAGAGACCCGCGCACTGCGATGAAGAGTGGCCCCCACTCACCGCAACTAGAGGAAGCCCTCGCACAGAAACGAAGACCCAACACAGACATACATACATACATACATACATAAATAAATAAATAAATAAATAAATAAAATTTAAAAAAAAAAAAGAAGGGAGGCATTAAATAGAGGGGTGAGGGCTGTCTCTGTCAGTGGGAAGTTTTGGCAATCAAGGGCAGTCCAAAGTTAGTATTGGATTTTGCTTGCCTTTATCGGCAAGCTATGTACATAGTGGTATATGGGTACACTAGGGAGATGCTTGTGGTGTGGCCAGGGAGAGGGGCGATGGTATTGCGGGCTGTGGGCAGTGGAGATATGAGGAAGGTATGGTCCTATGTGTACCAGGTAAGGGAATGAGCCCTGGTACTAGAGGCTTAAGGAAGAAAAGAGAGCCCAAATTTTCTTACACTTGGGAGGTGTGACCTGGAGGACACAAGGGAAATTGTCCAATGGGGGAAGTGGGCTGTGTGCCAACCTAGAGCTGAAACAGCATCCATCTATCTACCTTCCATTTTTTCCTCTTGTTTGGTTTGGTCTGGATACAGTGGCCAGTGGGACTATGAGGAGAGAAGGACACCAGTGGTGCCAGCACCTGTTGTCTTCTCTGAGGTGAAGGCCTGAAGAGGGGGGTGAGCTGCAGGTAGGTGAGGGGAGGATGGACTGAGGGGGTCATGAGAAGAGGAGATGCCAGTGGTAGATGTGGCAGAACTCTGAGTCACAGGTCAAGGGCCTGGATGTGCCCATTTGACTATCTGTTTGTTATTCACCCCACCTATTGGCCCCCTGGCTTAGCTGTCTCATCATTGCAGAGTCTGGTGACCTTTGAGGATGTGGCCGTGCACTTTTCCAAGGAGGAGTGGGGGCTCCTTGATGCAGCCCAAAGGCAGCTGTACCACAGTGTGATGCTGGAGAACTTGGAGCTCATGACCTCACTTGGTAAGGCCCTTATGCCCTGCCCAGCCTGGTGGCCAGCATCTGCCTTCTGCCTTCTCCCCGTAGAAAGCTCTGTTCATCCCAAAGCTGGACCATGGAGACTGCTTCCTTCCCAGGTTTCCTGTTGTAGGTGCTGTGAGTAATGGGACTGAGCTGTATGCACTCACCCTGTTTCTCCCTGAGCAGCTTGATGAGCAATCCTAATAGCTGTTATGTCCCACAGAGGCCTTGTGGGAGAAGAGGTTGGGGATCAGGCATTCTGGTCTGCCTAAGGGATCCCACTGAGCTTGACCAGTTCCTGGCAGGGTGACCTAGTGTGGGGCCATGCCTAGGTTCTGCCCCTTCTCCCAGAGACATGTTTTTTTTAATGGCTTTACTGATACGTATCATAACATTCACCTTTTTTTTCAGCTGTGTCGGGTTTTAGTTGAGGCAAGTGGGATCTTTGATGCAGCATGCAGGTTCTTTGTTGCAGTGCACACAGGCTTCTCTCTCGTTGTGGCACGCAGGCTCCAGAGCACATGTGCTCTGTAGTTTGTGGGACACGGGCTGTCTTGTTAAGGCTCACAGGCTCAGTAGTTGTGGCACACAGGCTTGGTTGCCCCGCAGCATGTGGGATCTTAGTTCCCTGACCAGGGATCAAACCCATCTCCCCTGCATTGGAAGGTGGATTCGTTACCACTGGACCACCAGAGAAATCCCACATTCAACTTTTTTTCTTTCTTTTTTTTGCGGTACGCGGGCCCCTCACCGCTGTGGCCTCTCCTGTTGTGGAGCACAGGCTCTGGACGCGCAGGCTCAGCGGCCATGGCTCACGGCTCCAGCCGCTCTGCGGCATGTGGGACCCTCCCAGACCGGGGCACGAACCCGTGTCCCCCCCCATTGGCAGGCGGACTCCCAACCACTGCGCCACCAGGGAAGCCCCAATGTTCACCTTTTTAATGTGTACAGTTTAGTGGTTTTTCATATGTTTTCATTGTATAAATATCACCATAGTCCATAAAACTCCTAGAAAAGAACATAGGCAGTATGTTCTCTGACATAAATCATACCAGTTTTCTTAAGTCAGTCTCCCAAGGCAATAGAAATAAAAACAAAAATAAACAAATGGGACCTAATCAAACTTACAAATTTCTGCACAGCAAACGAAACCATAAACAAAACAAAAAGACAGCCTATGGACTGGGAGAAAATATTTGCAAATGATACAACTGACAAGGGTTTAATTTACAAAGTATACAAACAGCCCATACAATTCAGTAACAACAACAAAAAATCCAATTGAAAAAAACGGGCAGACACCTGCTGGGCCTGTGTGCCACAGATGCTAGGGCCCGCATGCCTGGAGGCCCCTGCTTCACAGCTGGAGAGGCCTCTGCAACAAGAGGCCTGCATACCACAACGAGGAGTGGCCCCCCCTTGCTGTGGCCAGAGAGAAGGCCATGTGCAGTGGCAAGGACCCAGCACAGCCAAAAATAAAATAAATAAATTAAGAAAAAAAATAATAAAAATGGGCAGAAGACCTAAATAGACATTTCTCCAAAGAAGACATACAGATGGGCAATAGGCATGTTAAAAGATGCTCATCATTACTAATTATTAGAGACATGCAAATGAAAACTACAATGAGGTACCACCTCACACTGGGCAGGATGGCCATCATTAAAAAGTCTACAAATAACAGATGCTGGAGAGGGTGTAGAGAAAAGGGAACCCTCCTACGCTGTTGGGGGGAATGTAAATTGGTGCAGCCACTATGGAAAACAGTATGGAAGTTCCTTAAAACACTAAAAATAGAGTTGTCATATGATTCAACAATCCCATTCCTGAGCACATATCCAGAGAAAAGTCGAAAAGATACATACACCCCAATGTTCACAGCAGCACTATTTACAATAGCCAAGGCATGGAGACAACCTAAATGGCCCTCAACAGATGGTAAAGAAGATGTGGTGTATATATACAATGGAATATTACTCAGCCTTAGAAAAGAATGAAATAATGCCATTTGCAGCAACGTGGATGGACCAGAGATTATCATACTAAATGAAGTAAGTCATAAGGAGAAAGACAAGTACCATGTGAGATCTTATATGTGGAATGTAAAATACGACACATGAGCATATCTATGAAGCAGAAACAGACTCACAGATACAGAAAACAGACTTGTGGTTGCCAAGGGTGGGAGTTGGAGGAGGGATGGATTGGGAGTTTGGGATTAGCAGATGCACCCTAGTACATACTGGATGGATAAACAAGGTCCTACTGTATAGAACAGGGAACTGTATTCAATATCCTGTGATAAACCATCATGCAAAAGAATATGAAAAAGAATTGTACATATATGTGTAATTGAATCACTGTGCTGTACAGCATAAATTAGCACAACATACTTCAAAGAAGATTTTTAAAAATTAGAGGTAATAGATAAATATCACTATAACATTTTCATTACCTAAAGAAAAACTTTGTAGCCTTTAGCAGTCACTCTACATCCCCCCTCATCCCTTCCTCCTGAGTCTTAGGCAACCACTAATCTACTTTCTGACTATATAGATTTGCTTATTCTAGATCTTTTATACAAATGGAATCATACGATATACATTTTTCTGTGACTGGCTCTCACTTAGCATGTTTTTGAGATTCATCCATGTTGCAGCACATATCAGTAATATGTTGTTCATTTTTATGGCTGAATAATATTCCATTGTGTCGATATACCAGTTTTTTTATCCATTCATCAGTTGATGGGCATTTGGCTTGTTGCCACTTTTCAACTGTTACAAAAATTATGGCTGTTAGGAACGTTCATGTACAAGTTTTTGTGTAGATATGTTTCATTGCTCTTGGGTAGATACATAGCAGTGGAATTCACAAACTGTTTCCCAAATTAGCAGCACCATTTTACATTCCCACTGCAGTGTATGAGTGTTCCAAGTTCTCTACTTCCTCATAAACAACTTGTTACTATCTTTTTTCTTATAGCTATCCTGGTGGGGTGGTATCTCATTGTGGTTTGAATTTGCATTTCTCTAATGACTAATGCTGTTGGGCATTTTTTCACGTACTTACTGGCCACTTGTGTATATTTATCTTTCTTTGAGAAATGTCTTTTCAAGTTCTTTGCCTCTGTGTCCATGCCTCTGGTGAGGCCTCTTTACTCTGTGGCTTGCTGGGCCCTGTCCTGCACAGTAAGCCTTTCACTCTTACTCTGGCCCCCTTGGCCTATTAACAAACCCTTGGGCCCATTTCTGTATGTGTCAGTCACACATTTCTAATGAAGTCACCCTTTCCACTAAGTGGAACACTCAGTTAACCAGAAATTTCTTGGCTTTCAGGTTGTTGGCATGGAGTGGAAGATGAGGAGGTATGTTCCGAGCAGGATGCTTCTGTAGATGTGGTGTCACAGGTCAGGATTTTCAGTGCACATCCTTCCACCCAGAAGGCTGACAGTTGTGACATGTGTGACCCATTCTTGAAAGACATTTTGCACCTGGATGTACATCAAGGAACACACGCTGAGGAGACTCCCTGCACATGTGTAGCATGTGGCAGAGAGTTTTGGTTTGGTGCAAACCTTCACCAGCATCAGAAGGAGTGCAGTGGAGAAAAGCCCTTCAAATGGGACAAGGACAGGGACTTGTTTGTGCAGAGCTCAATAGTCTGTCTATCAGAGAAGCCCTTTACATGTGGGTTAGGTGGTAAGGATGTCTCGGACAGCCATGACCTCCTCCAGCACCCAAACACAGATGGCAGTGGGAAGCCACACAGCAGCACAAAGTGCAGGGAGGCCTTACCATACCCTTCCAGTCTTGGGCAGCTCCCAGAAGTCCATACCTCACAGAAACCCTTCAAGTGCAGTGACTGTGGAAAAGCCTTCCAGAAGAGTTCTGTCCTCCTCAACCACCTGAGAACTCACTCTGAAGAGATACCATTTAGATGCCTAAGAGTTGAAAATTCCTTAGAGGAGAAATTAGTTCTTGTTAATGACCAAAAGTTTCACACTGGAGAAACATCTCACGTATGTAAGGAGTGTGGCAAGGCCTTTAGTCATCCGTCTAAGCTGAGGAAGCACCAGAAATTTCATACTGGAGTAAAATACTATGAGTGCAGTGACTGTGGGAAAACTTTCAGCCACAAACTCACACTTGTTCATCACCAGAGAATCCACACAGGAGAAAGGCCTTATGAATGCAGTGAATGTGGGAAAGCCTTCAATAACAGGTCACACCTCACTCGGCATGAGAAAGTTCACACTGGAGAAAGACCTTTTGAGTGCAGCAAATGTGGAAGAGCCTTCAGCCAAAGCTCCAATTTCCTTAGGCACCAGAAAGTCCACACCCAAGTAAGACCTTATGAGTGTAATCAGTGTAGCAAAGCCTTCAGCCGCAGCTCTGCTCTCATTCAGCACTGGAGGGTTCACACTGGAGAAAGGCCTTATGAGTGCAGTGAGTGTGGGAGAGCTTTTAATAATAACTCCAACCTTGCTCAGCATCAGAAGGTCCACACTGGAGAACGGCCTTTTGAATGCACTGAATGTGGAAGAGACTTCAACCAAAGCTCTCACCTCCTTCGACATCAGAAAGTCCACACCGGAGAACGGCCTTTTGGATGCAGTGAATGTGGGAAAGCCTTCAGCAATAGCTCCACCCTCATTCAGCACCAGAAAGTACATACTGGTCAAAGGCCTTATGAGTGCAGTGAATGTAGAAAAGCCTTCAGTCGCAACTCCAGCCTGATTCAGCACTGGAGAATTCACACTGGAGAAAGGCCTTACGAGTGCAACGAATGTGGGAAAGCCTTTGCTCACAGTTCCAGTCTCATTGAGCACTGGAGAGTTCACACAAGAGAAAGGCCTTATGAGTGTAGTGAATGTGGGAAATTCTTTAGCCAAAACTCCATTCTTATTAAACATCAGAAAGTTCACACTGGAGAAAGGCCTTATGAGTGCACTGAATGTGGGAAGTTCTTTAGCCGCAAGTCCAGCCTCATTTATCACTGGAGAGTTCACACCGGGGAAAGGCCTTATGAGTGCAGTGAATGTGGGAGAGCCTTCAGCAATAACTCTCACCTGGTTCGTCACCAGAGGGTTCACACACAAGAAAGGCCCTATGAATGCAGCCAATGTGGGAAAGCCTTTAGTGAAAGATCCACGCTTGTTCGACACCAGATAGTTCACACCAGAGAAAGGACTTATGAGTGTGGCCACTGTGGGAAAATCTTCGGCCGCCTCTGTAACCTTGCTCAGCATAAGAGGATTCATACCTGAGTGGAGCCTTGTAGAAATGATCTTCATGAGAAAGTCTTCAGCCACATCCAACTTCATGCAGCAGAATACCCACAAAGAAATTACCTAACGTGTCACTAATGTGGAAGAGCCTTCAGAAGCTACTCTGCCCTTTTTGAGCAGCCCAGGCAGCACTGTCTCGCCTCTGGAACATAAACCTCTTTCTAGCTGCCTGGATCCAAATATTTGCAGCAGTCACCTACATATACATGGAGAGAACACCTCCCTTTGCCTCCCTTCCCCTTTCCTGGAGGGTGTTGGGATTGTCCTAGGCTCACTGGAATGGCTTCATTCCCATTGCCTCTGAGAGGGTTAAGGAATGAACTGACCCCATGCCGGTTGAGAGATTAATCAAGACACATGACAGTCCTAAATGTTAATATACCTAACAGTGCTTCAAGGTACATGAAGCAAAAACTGATAGAACTGCAAGGAGAAATAGACAAATCCACAATTATAGTTGGAGATGTCCACATCCATCCCAGATAATCGGTAAGGACAGAGAAGACGAACAACCAACTTGTCAACCAACTTGACCTAATTGACATTTATAGAACATTCTGTCCAATAAAGGCAGAATACACATTCTTTTCACAGGCACATAGAACATTTACCAAAATGGAGCATCTTCTGGGCCACAAAACAAGGCTTGATAAATGGAAAAGAATTGAAATAATACAAAGTATGGACCCTGACTATGAGAGAATTCAATAAGAAATCAAGAATAGTATGATGTATGGAAAACCCTCACTTGGAAACTAAATAGCACACTTGTAAATAATCCATGGTCAAAGATGAAATCAAAAGAAAAATTAGAAAGTATTTTGAATGAAAATGAAAACAGAGGATATCACAACATATGGAATGTACCTAAAACAGTACCAAGGGAGAAATACTTGTGTGTGTGTGTGTCTCCATGTATACTAGTGAAATATGAATAAGCCCTATGGAGTGTAAAAAAGAATCATTAAATGCTCAATTTTTTAAAAGATAGAACAAAAGAAGCAGCCATGACGAATACAAGCCATAATAACTTCTTCCCTTCACTAAAAAGTAAAAGCCAATTGCAGAGCTCACCTGAGCCCCCAGGAGACAGAAATGCAGAATGTCAGGAAGGGCCTCATCGACACACTTGGGGCCCCTCCACAACCCTGCTCACAGTTGCCAGTTGTGTGGTTTCTTAAGGGATGTCTGTCTCCCCGTGTCTTAGTCCATTCCAACTGACAGAACAAAAATACCATAAACTGGGTGGCTAATAAATAATAGAAATTTCTCACAGTTCTGGAGGCTGGAAAATCCAAGATCACAGTGCCAGCAGATTTGGTGTCTGGTGAGGATCCTGGATAATAGCTGTCTTCTGTGTCTTCACACAGTGGAAGGAGAGAGGGAGTTCTCAGAGGGTCTCTTTTGAGGGCACTAATCCCATTCATGAGGGTTCCTCCCCCATGACCTAATCATCTCCCAAAGGCCCCCACCTCCAAATACCAAACACTGAGGGTTAGGTTTTAACCTATGTATTTTGGGGGGACACAACATTCAGTCTACATCACCTACTAGAATGTCTGTTTCATGCAGGAGGGCCCCTATGGGTTTTGTCCCTGCTGGGTGAGTTCAGTCTCCAGAGCACAGCAGCAGTTTACACAGCCTGGGGTAGGTGTGTAAGCACTCAGGGAGTGCAGGAAGGGGGATGTACTACTCTT